ATTAGATGAAATTAATTAAATTATTCTCGGATGGCAAAATTAGTCTATGAACACAGCTTGTCATATATTATCACATAATGTTTGTCTATAGACTGTGTCAAGGTTTAATTCTTGCTGATGCAAAATCTAGATCGTCTCGTGATCTTATTATTCGATCTCAGTATTCGATATCGATGCCGGCGAAGTGTCTTCATCAAGTTTTGATATTTTTAGGATGACACGGCGAGATATAAGCGATTTTTTATAGTTTTTATATTCTGTCGTGAGCAAACCCACGTATAAATACCATTCAGACGGAAAACAATGAATTTTGTAAGATTGATAAAATTGTTCCAGTAAACGCATGACTCACAAACAATAATTACTTGATTTGAATAAGAAGAATTTTTAAAAATTATTTGATAACAGAATCGATTTAATAAAATAAAAGTAAAAAAAGAGCAATTAATAATAGGAAAATTGTTTAAAAAACTGCAATTATACATATAAAAATAAATTTTATAAATAAGATTATATTAATAATTTTTAGCTTTTTATATTACTGTGTCAAAAATTTATATTATCGATAAATAAAACTAAATAATTTTTTTATATTAGTTTTATTTCTATAATATCAATTATTTTACGTATTGAATTAATCAATTAATTAACAATCGGAAATTAACTAAAAAAATTCTAAAAAATTCAAAAGAAATTGAATTCTGAATCTTGACACATTACGTAAATACAATTTTCTAAAACTCTAAAATTCAACATGTGTGAATCATTATCTTTGATACATTTTGTCGGAGAAAGTTCTTTTTTAAAAATAAAAAAATTAGTAATATTCTTTGGCTACTACAATGAGACTTTTGCGATATAATATTCATCATTCGCACGCGACAAAATCCGCGAGCAACATTTTGGCTGCGTTCTCGAGGTTGTACATTCAAGGGCAAGGAAGATTCGTCTTGCGATCACAATCACCTGCACGCGTTTTTGTTGTAATTTCTGCCCTCTCTTGTGATAAACTTTATAATAAACCAATGATATTTTTCTCTCGCCTCTTTCGTACCCAGTAAACGGCCGCCTCCTCCTCCTTCGGATGGTGCTCGATGTTGTAACGATAGACCGTCGTGTAAGCGGGCATCTTCTCGTCCCGTCGAGAGGCGTCCCGCGGGAACTTTCTCGCAATTCTTACCCTTCTCCCTCGAAACTGTTGTCACCCTTTCTCGCGCGCGGCAACCCCTTTCGCGGCTCTTGTAATATCGCTCGCGTCGTCCCTCGCTCACGACTCTCGCGTGATTATTCGCGCTTAAGCACTACTAGCTCGACGCGAGCGCGGGCGGCACTAACTCTGGCCTTTTCCACGCGACTCTTCTCTCTCTTTCCCGAAGACCTCTCTCGACCCACTCGCTTGCTTTCATCTTCGTGTACTTAGAATTCTTCACCCTGGAAATTCGTCTTTCGATTGTCACGACTTAGATATCTTTCAGACATTTCATATTCAATGACAATTAGCATCAAATTATTTGATTAAGAAACCAGATAAATTATCATCGAAAGTACGAAGGTGAATTCTCTTTTGTCTCTTTTTTCTATCCGGGAAAAAATAAACTTATAAATAAAATGCATAATACATTTTCATAGTTTCTAAAGTTTCCTAGAAATTGGTTATTGTTCCAAGATAATCGTTTGAAATGTTTTTATTGGCAACAAAATTTCGCGATGAGATTAACAACAGAGTCGCTCAAATATACAAATTTCAATTGCCAAGTTTTACTGGTAAATCTTTCTCTGTTTCATGTATATATAAGTAAATAACAAGTACATATAAGTAAACACAAATGCATACAAGTGCATACGAAATATTTCAAACACTATGTATTCTTTTGCAGGAGAAGATTTCCAACATTCGACATTCGCAATATTTTTAAAAAGACCAATATATTCTAAATTTTTTGAAATTTAAATATTTTTAAAAGATGTATCTGTTTTATATATGAGAAAGACTTATTATGATCTAAGTTTATATCATCTTGAAAAAGGAGTAAAATTCTAGAATAAACTATTTTCAATTTAAATATTTTTAATGCATTATTTTTTTATCTAATGTATTGCGGAAAAGGAAGAGATTTAATTAATTTTATTATATGTAGGACTAAAACGAGATTATATCCGCCATTGGGCGAATGTGGGAGGTGAGAGAAGACGATGTCCTGGATCCGCGGGATGTATATCGGATCGGGACAGGCAGAGGTGGTTTCGATGCAAAAGCGATATTTATAGTATGTGGCAACCGCCTCTACCGACGTACTTTCCGGCATCGTGGCGGGCCAACAAAAATATATTCACACTTCGGACTTCCCACAAATAAAGGCCCCTTCGTACCTCCGTTTTGCACTATCCATGGCGATACATCCTGTTGCTGCTGTCGTTGCAGCTGGCGAGTAGTGCAATATATGCGGTCACGATTAGCGACGTCGCGTAATAAACACGGAAAAGAGGACCTCTCTTTCCGAAGTTTCGTCGGTATCGTTTTTGCAAAACGAGTAGGAAATACTCCGTCAAACGACATCTAGACTCAAAATTGCCGCATTGCAAATCGTTGGCATTGCTGTTAAAATCGCTACTCAAAATTCGTCTATAAACACTTGTCTTTCTTCATCAATTATTCGATAAATATTAATTACGATAAGTAAAAATATAAAGAGCAAAATGCTTTGCAATATTGTTTGTCTTGATGAGAATGTTTGATTTTATAAAAATTGGATAGAAACTATATAAACTATATATGGAGAAAAAAGTTTTAAATTTTATTATAAATGCAAAAAATTAGAGTTATATATATGTATTATATATTTTAATACGATTAATAATCGGAAAATTTATTTAATTTTACTTTTTACGTAATTATTACAATTTTATTTTCTATATTATCTCGGAAGATTTTTTGTATTAAATTTCTATATGTCTATTACGCGATAGGTAGATTACTGCAATGATGTATGTCAGAATTTCGTCGACTTAAATAAACTGTTTCGGAGCAAGCGAGTTAAACGCGACAAATGACCTGTCAGATCATACCATTAGTATGATCTAAAGATGAGTTATTGAATTTCAAAATGTAGAAGGGATTATTTTGAAATAGACTCAAGCTTGCCAGACGCGATGAAAACTTAAGAAATCGGAATATATATTATTTCTTATTTATGACAATTTGTGTCTCTAAACAGCTGTATGTATTTTATGATATACATAAAAGAGAACAAAATATTTATTTATATATCTGAATTATCACTTAATAAAAAGAAGATATATGTATATTCTTAGATATCCCTAGAGTATAAGAATATAGAGTAAAAGAATGATTTTGTTATATTGATTTATGCAATTGTTCACGGCATTCTTGCCGCTCTTAAACACTTTGAAAAATAAATACGAAAACGACATTTATGACCTTAGTGGTAGACAAGAAATTACGACGGGACAATTTCTATATTTAGTATCTACTTTTAGCGCCTGCTTGCATAATTTCGCATGAAACTATCAGTGACAGCCGAACACTGGTGGCTGCTGATATATAATGCAATAATATATGATCAACAATATATGATCTTTATTTAAAAATAATCTTTAAAATAATTATGTTCTTTTAAATACGAGTAACTCTCACGTTTGAATATTTTAGAATATTTTTTTCTAATACGTATATTGTCAGATATTTGTTTAGATCTATTGCTTAAAAAACGAGAAATTAGTCTGACATGAGACATGTGTTTTTCAATGATATCAACGCCGTGTTTCTATTCGTCCAAACTATTTCAATCCTATAAAGAAATAAATAAATATCACGATTAGATTTTGATTTATACGATGAAACAAAGCCGGCTGTTCCTTCACGCGGATCAATGAACTTTCTAGCGAATTTGCACCGTCTGCATATGCTCGGAAATTTGATTTCAATCTAATTTCAGGGACTAAATGCATTTCTTGATCGTGTATAATTTCTGGAACATTATCGATATATCATGTTTATAGCTTAATTTAAACAAATTCAGTAGTAAATAATAGAAAATTAAAATTTTCAATAAAATCAAAATTTTGTTTGAAGTACAGAAAGCTTTCATCATTTTTAAAATTTGATAAAATTATATCTCATTTTTATCTTATTCTACACAAGCAATTATTTGTAAAATTGAGAATTTTGATTTAGATTTAATTATTCTCATTTCTATGTAGTTTATAATCATTTCTATATTTTCATTTGAGAACAAGAGAATTCTTTTTGATATTTCAATAATAATTATTCATATAAAAAACGTTGTTTAAAATACCTGTGACAAATGAGCCTTCTCTTCGCGAATCTCATCGCGATGATCATGCGGTAAAATGATCGTACTGCGAAGAGTGTATTCGGGGCTCGATATGGGTGTTGATACATACTCCTCAACTGAAGGCGGTGGAATCGGGCTCTTCGGTAATTCCTGAGGATACTCCTTCTGCTGTTTGTACCTATATAAAAGAATTGCGAAAGATATTAGTAATGTATAGTAAATAATATATTCGTATTACGAAATACAAGAAGCTATGCAGTTTTTCGACGATCGCTTTCAATTATAAGAGAAATGAATAAACATTATTTTAACATAAAATACACAATTAAATATATAATTTATAAAATATAAAAGAAATAAATCTGTAGATTTGTATAATAGCAAGTACAGTTTTAAATATACAGAGGAACTTTTTAAAAGAAAAAAATTAGAGATCATAGTTCAGCGTATATAAAGAGGAAAAATCTAGAACAGAATCTATGATGTACATACATATACATATGAAATTCATGTTATGTGTAAAACTGAATTAATGTCTGAATTAATGATTTACTGAATTAATGTCGTATGAGAGTAACTAAATTTTTAAATTTATGTTCAAAACCCAGTGTTTCGAAAACATTACTTATCCATAGGAAGGATTAAAGGCGATCATTGTAATATATTTCAGTGTGTAACGGCCGAAAATATCAATTGTGCTTTGCACGAAAAAAGAAACTAATTAATCGAGGAAGCGAATTAATCAGCGGCGGCGTTACGTAGCAGCGTGGCGATATTACGCGATAGCAACAACGAATATCATTGTGATGGCAATCAAAAAAACGCGTAAGAATAGAGATAGTATTGCATTCTGACAGACTAGTGACCGCAGCCCTGTCGCCAAAGTTCGACTTGAAAACTGTGGATGGTGATGGTAACGCAGTGATGGTAGTGTCGGTGGTAATACGTGATGATGTCGTGGCTCTCGGCGACTCAGACCTTTCGACGACTAGCTTTATGGTTTCGGAGTTTTGGAGTAGGTTCTGTGCGTCTACATGCCTCATGTCGCGCGTGTCATAATCGTCGATCTTCTTGATCACATCACCCCTCTGGAGCGCCTCGTTCTCCGACTACAAACAAAAATATTGATTCGATTGTTAGCAACAACGATCATTAATATTATTATTATTGTCAGCAACAACGATTATTAATATTATTATTATTATTATTATTATTATTATTATTATTATTATTATTATTATTATTATTATTATTATTATTATTATTATACAATTATAATTTGCAAAAATTACTATATAATTATTAAGAAATCAGAAAGACATAGAAATCTTAAGCATCGAAAATACATGACAAAAAATGTAAAAATTTTTAAAATTTACTTTTCGGAAACTATAGGATATTTCCTTATGTTTTAATACAATAACATAACAGAATAAATATAATAATTGAATAAAAAATTATTTAAATTATATTTTTATTGTTTTGTTTGCTGACAGTGAAATAAATTCGATAGATGCATTCATTAAAAAAAATATTCACCAGGAAATTCGGTTAAATAGTAAAGTTTAATTTAAGGAAAAAATGAAATATATTAATAAGAATAAAACAAATAATTAAGAATAAGATAATTAAATAATAATAAGAATAAAATAATATTAAAAGGAAAGAAAATTTATATTTTATGATAAATAATATCTCAAATTAATTGTTTATTTCAGAAAAATAAAAACAAATAAAAGATAAAACAAAAGTACGAAAATTAAAAATTAAAAAACGAGTTGTAGCTACATCTCTCATCTTTATGTTACATACGTATAATGTTACATACTTGCTCAAAAATATAAAAAAATACTTTACATCTCGTTAGATCGTGTTTTGCGCGAGTAAACGGAATGCATTGATACACAGTGTCGTGTATCAATGTCAGCAGGCGCTAGATCGACTCGTTGATTTAAGAATTCTTTGGCAGCTTTCTCGACTGCTTCTCTCTATTTCAAATGTTCACAGGATTGTGTTACGTTTATCTATTGTTCTGTAGCGGTTTGGAAATGCCAACGCGAAATCGAAGCCAAGTAAGTAGACGCCGACACGAAATCGCGTTAACGAAAGACGAATGTTCTGTTGAATAAAAATCATTCTATCGAATAAAAATCATTATTCGAAAATTAATAAGTACCACCACTCGGTATATTATCAAATTTTACGGATAATATAAAAAAAAGACATAAAAAAATATATATTTTTTATCAACGCACGTTGTTGATTCGTGACTCTATATTATAATTCGGTAAACACGGTTTAGAATATTTACCTTGCGTTAAAAATACCTTTTTAACATCATTACAAGTAAATTATAAACATCAAATAAAATTATATAATTTTTATATATTTCTTGACTGTTATTAATATATTAATCAATTAAAATTAGTATTTTAATCAATTGTCAAGTGACAATAATAATTATATTATAATAGACGATAATATAATTGATAGATTAAAAGATTTATTGTAGATTATAATTCACTTTTTTGATTAAAAATGTATTATTTTTATTGTTTTCTTCAAATTTATCGTATCTTCCTCTTTTATTACTGTTTATTGTTGTTTATTTAAAAAATCACAATCATTTTATATCTTGGAGTCAGAATAAGTCTAAATTCGATATTGGAGTACACTTACAAGCTAATGCATTTCATATTTTGGCTATTAATTTCATCCAAAATTTAATGAAAAGCAAGAAAAAAATTGAAATTAAATCGAGAAGAAGACTCACGCGGGTGACTACGATCGGCGTGTTTAGATCGGCGCCTCCAGCGATCCTTATGCCCCAAGGCCTGCCTGTGCCGGATCTCTTGAGCTTTACAATCACTGTATGCTTTCTCGTCATGCTCTAGATTTGTTCAGTTAATCCACCACCACTAATAACAACAACCACAACAGCACAACAAGCACCTAATCAATCAATCAATCAATCACAAGTTGCACTAATTGTAAGTGAAAATGAAGAGAGAATCTCATAAAAGAGAGAAGGATTTTTACAGGAGAAAATAAGACGTCGTGCAAAACGGCGCGAACGATAGGTCTCCCGGATCGTGGTCGCTCTCTGCTTCACTACTGAGATAGTAGCTGCAGCTGTAGCACTTGCCGACTATATGCCGACTTTGACAGAGCCCTGAGCCGTGAGAGAAGAAAAGATAGATAAAGAGAGAGAGAAGGAGCCTAGTTGCCTAACTCTAAAACAGAGACCACCGTTAATCTCTCTCTTTCCTTCTGTCTCTTCGTTATTCTGGCCCCATTTCGAATTGGCATACTGCGCCAATGTATTGTTCTGGTGGTTCGACTTGCACTCATTTCTTTGGCAACCGTCGTGTGCGTCGTGCGTGCGTGCGTAAATGCATTACAATCTTGAGACTTTTGGGAGAGAGACGCAATACCACTCGGCTATTCACGAAGGACATCACGAGAGGAATCCTTGAAGATATAGATAAAAAAGAATTATTGAAGAAATTCTGTTTTTTTATTTTTCTGTTTTCTGCGAATGTCAATCTCTTATAATCTTTGAGAGATAAAAGTGAAGAGACTTAAATTAACAAAAGATGAATTTTTGGATCGAAAAATTTTTTCAAAAATATTGTGATTAAAGATTTTCTCTTGTGATTTTTAACAATTAGCTTACTCAACTCATATGGAATTTTCTAAAAAAAGCGGTTTATGAATAACTAACTTGTTGAGGTAAAAGAAAAATTATAAAATAGAAAATATAGCTTTAATTCTTCAAAAATATGTAATATACGCAATCGCACGATATTATATCATATTTAACAATTTAACAATTTGCGGAAATATGATATAAGATAAAAGAATTCATATACGTGTGAAATAATGAACCGTAAACATTAGGGAGAGAAGATAGAATAAAAATTTTCATGACAAATCATACGTTGCAATTTAAAACATGTTTCGATACAATGTTTCATAAGCAATTGATAAATGGGATAAACATATGAAACAGAAAGAGAGAAAGAGGAGAAAAGTACAAGAGAGATGTGTTTCATATATCTATATATCTATATCTATATAATTATCTATATATCTATATAATTATCTATATATCTATATATTATTATTTGCTATTCAGTATTAAACAAATAAATATTTTCTTTAAAGTTAATAAAAAAGATTAAAGATAATTAGATTTTATTTATATTTTCAAAAAGTTTAATTTCCAAAGATCACTTTTATTCTTTAGAATTTATCTGACTATCATCGAAATTATTTAATTAAACATATAATAAATTATTAAATAATTTTATTATTCAATGAAAAGTTTTAATGAAAGGTTTTAATTAAACATTTCATTAAATTTCTTGAAAAGCAAAAGTTGAAGAAAACCTGTTATTAGAAATTAATGAAGATAACGAAGACTTTAAAGACAGATGTATAATCAAACTGTGATACATAAATAAGAAAATTGAAAGACAAGGAGAGGAAAGGAACGGCTTTCTCCGAATCGTACTCACATAGGTCTCGTAAAAGTGGCCTATGGAGAACTTAAGAGCCATCCTCGATTTGTTAAAATCTATCTATCCTATCCTGTTGCCTTTTCCTCGCTTATTCCTGATGAAACACTCGCGCTTCTCTTCCGCTGTGCGACGTTCACGGACAGTGAGAAACTTCTCTCCTGTGCGGACCGATCCGATGTAATTAATTTGGCTGTGATTAACGAAGACTAGATCCAGAGATGGGAGAAAGAAAGAAAGAATGAGAGAGGAAAAGAGAAGAGAAGGCGCGTATACGCATTATACGACTTAAATTAGCAACCTATAGCGCGAAAGGTTAGTTAATCATGGTCTTCGTTCTAGTGACTCACTTTATCTTAATTTATACAATCATTAAGACATATCGCCGAAATGTGCGACATCGGCAATTAGCGACAATTCATTATGAATCACCGGCTAATTATGTACCGCGGAAATAAAAAAGATCTCTGAGATAATAATTTCGTATCGTGTGAATTCGTAGCAATTATTGATATATACAACATATCCATATTTATTTTTATTATAACATAGAAAAAAATATTAAAATACAAAATATATTGTAGATAGAAAATAATAGTGTGAATATATAATAATAATGTAAACATGTACAAAAATTATAGTATATCTATTTTAGAAAAATATCCAAAAAGAATTATTATAATCACTATGAATAGCTCGAGTTGTCTGCATAATATATAAATGTGAATATTGCGTGAATAATTCGGTATTGCCGTGAACAATTCGGTATTGCCTTGAAATACGGTAGCATTTTTATTTATTATCTATCTTTAGGTGCTTATCAGTTTTTTAGAGATTTATAAATATATATAAAAAAAAAACTATACCTATCCATAAATGATTAAAAACTCCAAATTGATACGGAATGCAGATTTCTTTGTGTTACAAGTATTCCTGAGTGATTGCACGACTGATGACCAATCGTCGTATTTCATTAGTACCCGCGCCAACGTCGTAAAGCTTTGCGTCTCGTAATAACCTCCCCGTCACATAATCATTGATGTATCCATTACCGCCTGTAAAGTAAGTAAAAAAATAAAAATATATAGGTAAATATATAGATCTAACTAAATTTCGTTGATTAAAAATTGAAAAATTTCTATTTATTTAATACAAAATTTAATCTCATAGCTTTTACTGTTCTTTTTATGTTTGATAAATTATTTACCAAGTATCTGCATGGCGTTCATTGTTGCTTTCACAGCATTCTCGGTACAAAATAACAATACTGCGGCGCAATCCTTACGATTTGTATGACCAGCGTCGCAAAATCTCGCAACAGAATACAAATAACTTCTGCTCGCGGTTAAAGTCATATACATGTCCGCAATCTTCCCCTAAAGTGTGATTGTGGCGTCAGATAATATTAATTAAAATCGTAATAATTATCTGCCCAAAGATAGAATATAATCTTACCTGTATCAATTGAAATTGCGCGAGATATTGGTCAAATTGCTTTCTTGAATGAGCATATTCAAAAGCAATGTCGCAAGAAGCTTGATGAACTCTAGAAGTTGCATTCTTATTGCACATTTTCTGATAAATACTTGTTTATGGTCAAAATAAAAGTAAACATTTATCTATTAATAGTTTCAAAACGCGAAGTTTGTAATAAAAAATTCCTAAGATCTGTCATATTTTTTTATGAAATATGCATATCTGTACACATATATCTATATATTATGTATGTATACAATATATGTATATCAAATATTAAAAAAATATAATTCTCATTTTATCGATAATATAAAAAATACATTCAATAATCATTTCAAAGTATATATTTTAATATACGAAGCATAAGTACTCGTGAAAAAAAGAAGTAGAAACAAGAAGTAGATTTTCAAACTAAATTTTGTATCATATCTTTCATTATTTTTTAAGCACTTACCCTACAGGTCCAGCAGCCAATATTAATCGTTCCAAATCTAATCCGCTGAGGAGCACGTAAACACCCTTATTAACTTCGCCTAGAACGTTGGCCGCTGTAATTTTGACAACAATAATCGATAATATAATACTATATATATATATATATATATATATATATATATAAACATCTATAAAAATACCTATATTCATTTTTTGTTCAAATATCTATTTACCCGGAATTTTACAATCTTCGAAAATTAATTCGCATGTATTGGAACCGCGCATTCCTAGCTTGTCCAATTTTTGCGCTGTACTAAATCCTTCTGTAGCACTCTCGACGATAAAGGCGGGGATACCATGTTGCGGTTTGTCCGCGTTCGGGTTAGTTCTCGCGTAGACGATCAAGATGTCCGCGTCCGGGCCATTCGTAATCCAAAACTTATTACCGTTCAGTATGTAATAATCGTTTTTCTTTTCAGCTCGTAATTTCATAGAGGTCACATCGGATCCGTAACCTGGTTCCGACATCGCCAGTGCACCAATGTGCTCACCGCTGCACAACTGGAAAAAAAATTCACGGAAAATTCAGGAATTAATAATACAAATATACTACATAAATAATATGAATATATCAATGATATATTTAAATTATTGACCATTTTACATGAGCGAATTTGCTAAATCGACGCGAATTTGATTTTATAGATAGAGATTACACACTTCTCGATAGAGCTTTTATTTGTATTAATTTTTATAAATTTTTTTATTAATTATAATTATATTTTTGTGGAACTTATTTATATTACTAGAATATCCGAAATATTTTTTTGCATAAAACTTATTTTTTAGGATATTAATCGTTAAATGCATGTACACTCGTTGAATATTAAAGTTTTACCTTAGGCAAGTATTTGTGTTTCTGTTCCTTGGTGCCGTTTCTATGGATTTGATTAACACAGAGATTCGAATGCACGCCATAACTGAGCGCGATAGCGGCCGATGCCCTACTCAATTCTTCCATGATAATTACGTGATCGAGATATGTGCCACCTGTACCGCCGTACTCCGGTTTCACCGTGATGCCCAAAAAGCCCAATTTTGCCAATTCTTTCCAGAATGCCTATATTTATTTTATCATTTTATATTAAAATAATAGAGAAAGATTCGACTTTATAAAATTTAATTTGCGCGCGTTTGTAATTTGAGATTTACTTAGATTTACAAGAGTTTTTTTTTCTTACCCTCAATTCATCGAAATTATTTTTCTTGTCAATCTCGGCGGCTTTAGGCGCCAATTCCTTCTGCGCGAAATTGAAAGCAAGTGAGCGAAGCTAAAAAAAAATGACTATTAAATACATTTAACAATATGAAAATTTTCGAATGTAAATCAGAAAAAAGGAAGAATGAGATGTTTAATGGCAAAGAAAAAATAATATTTTAAGTAATATACAATTATATATACAATCATATACACAATTTTTAATTATTATCCATAAAATTATTAAATTAATAAAAAAGTTTTATATCTCGATAAATTAATAGATGTTATGTCTTATGTGAATATAATTTACATATAAGATTATAAAACAAATTTCATCAATCTTCCTTAATTAAAATTTAAAAAAAACACATGTCACGCCGACAAGTGTCTTCGACGAAAAAACGCGTTGACAACAACTGACAGTTATAAGTACGTTCCGCTTAATTCTATTTTACGCTTCGAAGCATAAGATTCTTCACTCTGATTGGTCCATCAGAAACTTTGAAGCGAAAAAAAGCATCAAATGGAGCACATCTTAATTGGTCCAAAAATGCTTCGAAACGAAAATAGCGTCAAACGGCATCCGAAGAATCTTTGGTTGATAAAATTAATCACAAAAATATAAATATCAACATGTTGATTACGATATAGAAACCGATAAATTGCAAAGAGAATAATATGACATTTTTATTGCGTTTTATATATATACACATTTCATGCAAATATATAAATTCGTTTAGCGATCGCATCGCGATGGAATGACACAGCACGCAATGAAGGCATAAAAGATCTCTACTAACCTCTCTCTGTTCATTGTTCAATCCGAAGATACTCTCGTCGATCTTGCAATAATTTGACGCATAATTCACATTCACGATTTTATTAACGTGATTCGCGAGACCCGCGGCATGTCGCAAAACAGTAAAATGACGTATCGAAATCATTTTATTTTTTATTCGATTAGAAATATTTCGAATCGATAATTATTCTTACAATGTATGCGTATGTCGATCGATTGGAAATATCTTGATTGTTGTAATCTACTTGTTAAAAAGTATTACACTTGTAGAAATTGACAAAAGATGGCAAATATTCGAGCGTTATCAGCGTTAAAATAATTTCGATGGAATGGAATAAAAAAGAATTAAATGAATCAGAGCAAGTACGTTATAAGAATTCCGTACTGAAACTATATGATGATAAGACTAATGACGTAGGACTAGACTGAAATTATCAAATTGTGCAATAGCATGCTCTGATAAAGCTTAAATGCCATTGAAAATTTTCATACAAAAAGCTGATAAAGTCTTTTTTATATTTACAAAAATCATCAAATTGCCTGATTGAAATTAATACCATTTTTATTTATCAATAAAAGGAAGAGAAGGAATATCGATATGTCCTTGTTTATAAAAATATAATTAATTAATTAATTAATGTTAAGAAAGATGCGGTATTTAAAAGGATAAATGGTATGAAAATGGTACGAAAACTATACAAAATTATCGGATTGTAAATTTAAAATTAATGTTAAATTGCAATTGATTATAATATCGGCCTCTGGTTCATCATAATAATATATTTATAATTATATTCATTGCCTTATGTAACAAAAAAAGTAGAAAAAGTATTAGTGGATATTATAATCTTTTAAAGTATTATTTTCCTAACCTGACTTGACCTATAGCAAGCTGACCACGTGACTACTTTTACAGGTTCGTGCTTAAACGAAAGGCGATATAGACGTAGGGCACTTTTAGAGTTTATATAGATTTTTATTTTTTTTATTAAATATACTAGTTATTAAGACTGCATAATAATATTATATATGTAATAATAGAATTTATTAATTTTCCGAAACAGTTTCTATTTGTTTTGATAGATCTGATATATTATATATCTCGGTAAATTATGTACGTTACTAAGGATCAGCTGACTCTTGCGCTACGAAGCGGCACTGTACGAAAGTTCGACCTAACCTAATAACACGGACGTTCTTATTAGAAGTTTTCGTAGGAAGAAGTTGTGTATGACCACGTGCGTGAAACACATTGTTCGGATTGAAAAGAAAAATTACGAGCACTCATAATTGATTAAAATGGAAACAAATGAAATAAAAGTACGTACAGAGTATTTTTCATCTTTTTTTGAAACTTGTACATTAATGCCTTCTATGGTAAAAACTGAGTATTTAAATAAAAATTTCATTTTTTCATTCTGTATTTTTTTTTAATATACGATTTTTGTATGAAAAAGAAAATGTATGTAAATTTTAGAAAGATAGAAAAGAGTATGAATTATATATTTACTTGAAATAACTATTTTTATATATATTGCTAAATTATAAATAAATATTAATTAATAAATTTTAAATCTATTTTATATTACAGAACAAAGCAAAATTAGTAGAAGCTTTTCTAAAAGACAAAGGTTTGGTGAAGCAGCATATAGATTCTTATAATTATTTCATTAATAAAGAAATAAAAAATATTGTCAAAGCAAATGAAAAAGTTTTATCCAGTGAAGATGCACATTTTTATATAAAGTAAGAAATCGTCCTATATTTTTATAGAAAATGCAATTGTAGTATTGTTGGTTTAACAATATTCTTTTTTATTTTCCAGATATTTAAATATAAGAGTAGGTTTACCAGATATCGATGATGGTTCAAATGTAATGAAATCAACTACACCACATGAATGCCGTTTAAGAGACTTAAATTATTCTGCGCCAATCATAGTAGATATTGAACATATAAGAAATAATCAGCGAATAAGAAACACAAACATGGTGATTGGAAGGTAAGGAGAAGGAATATAAAATAAAAAGCATAAAAAGGGCGACAATAGATATAAAGGAATGTAATATAATTACAAACTCTTTCTTACAGGATGCCAGTAATGTTGCGCAGTTCAAATTGTGTATTAACTAATAAATCTCACTATGAGTTGGCTAAATTAAACGAATGTCCACATGACCCTGGTGGTTATTTTGTTATAAATGGTCAAGAGAAAGTTATATTAATACAGGAACAAATGGTCAGAAACAGAATTATTGTGGAAGAAGATGGCAAAGAAATTATTGCATCGTGCAACAGTTTTACTCATGAAAAAAAGACTAAAACAAGTATTGTTGGTAAAGCTGGCAAATATTATATAAGAAACAATATGTTCCAAGACGACATACTGATTACTGTCGTTTTCAAAGCTATGGGAATAGTAAGCGACATAGATATCATACAAATGATTGGAGAAAAAGAAAAATATTTGGACAAATTTATAGCCTGTATAGAAAATTGTCAAGAATTGGGTATCTTTTCAGAGAAACAAGCATTAAAATATCTCAATAATAAACGTAGACAAACAAGATCAGCGCAAAGTTATGCTGCAAAGTTTAGTGTTATTGATGAAATGAAAGATTTATTAGCAGCTAATGTGTTGTCTCATGTACCTGTCATAGATTTTAACTTCAGAACAAAAGCATTGCATCTCGCCTTGATGATTAGAAGAGTTATAGATGCACAATCTGATCGCAATCTGATTGATAACAAAGATTATTATGGTAATAAACGTCTAGAACTAGCCGGTTCCCTTCTTGCTCTAATGTTTGAAGATTTATTTAAAAGATTTAATTGGGAACTTAAGATGATTGCTGATAAGAATATTCCTAAGGTAAAAGCAGCACCATTTGATATAACAAAATATATAAGAAAGGATACGATCACCAATGGACTAGCGTTTGCTATATCATCGGGCAATTGGACAATCAAGAGATTTAGGATGGAAAGACATGGTGTTACACAAGTATTGTCACGATTATCGTACATTTCAGCGCTTGGCATGATGACAAGAGTCCACTCTCAATTTGAAAAGACTAGGAAAATCTCCGGTCCACGAGCGTTGCATGGTTCACAATGGGGAATGTTGTGTCCAAACGACACGCCTGAAGGTGAAGCGTGCGGCTTGGTGAAGAATTTAGCATTAATGGCTCATATTACAACCGAAATGCCAGAGGGGCCATTTATAAAATTGATGCGTAATCTCGGCGTGCAAATTATTTATACTTGTGTTGGAGGAGAGTTAATTAAAAAAGACATATATGTGGTGTTTGTGAATGGTAATATGGCAGGCATTATAAAAGAGTCTCTTGTACTACAATTAGTACACCAATTTAGGTTGTTACGCAGGATGGGATACATAGATTGTTTCGTATCAATATCTGTGCAACGTCGACATAAATGCGTTCAAGTCAGTTGTGATGGTGGTCGACTATGCAGGCCACTCATCATTGTCAAAGATGGGAAACCACTTATTGAAGAGAAACATATGAACTATCTGGAGATGAATCTTTGGACTTTTAATGACTTTGTTCATGCTGGTACAAACAATAGAAAATAAATTCAATATACTTCATTTTTATTTTATCATATATATTACATTATTCAATTATTGTAATATTGTTTATTGTATTTTCAGGCTTGATCGAGTACTTAGACGTAAACGAAGAAAATGATAGTTTGATTGCATGCAAGGAATCCGAAATTATTGCTCAAACAACGCATTTAGAAATAGCAGAATTTACAATTTTGGGAGTGTGTGCCGGCTTAATACCATATCCGAATCACAATCAAAGTCCAAGAAATACTTATCAATGTGCTATGGGTAAACAGGCTATAGGAGCCATAGGATACAATCAACGTAATCGCATCGACACTTTGATGTATAATCTAGTATATCCGCAAAGGCCAATAGTGAAAACACGACAGATAGAGTTAATCAATTTTGATAAATTGCCAGCTGGTGAAAATGCTCTCGTGGCTGTGATGTCGTTTAGTGGATATGATATCGAGGATGCACTTATTTTGAATAAAGCTTCCATTGATAGAGGATATGGAAGATGTCTAGTATACCGAAATTCGAAATGTATAATAAAAAATCATCCCAATCAAGTGATGGATGTAATTTTGGGACAATCGTTAGATGCTATTACTAAAAAACCTATACCGAAACATGATATTCTTGAGAACGACGGAATTGCAGCAGCTGGTGTAATGGTAGAAAATAAGAAAGTGTGTATCTCTTATATTTGAACGGTAAATGATCTTTTGTTTGTTTCTATTACAATTGATATTATATTATGTTACAGGTGATGGTGAATAAAGCAGTATCGACGCGTAGTGGGAATCTTGGCCCGTCGAGATCTGATAATTTTCAATCACAGGATTATCGCAGCGCGGAAGTTTCGTACAAAGGATCAGTTCCGGCGTATATAGAAAAAGTTATGGTATCTAGTAATGCAGAAAATGCATTTTTAATAAAATTGTTATTAAGACAAACTCGAAGACCTGAAATTGGTGATAAATTTAGTAGTCGTCATGGGCAGAAGGGTGTTGTAGGTAAAATTACTATAGATAAATTTTCACATTAAATAAATCATGTGTTACGAGAGATATTATAATTTTTGAAAATAATATTCAGGTTTAATAGTGGATCAAGAAGATCTACCATTTAATGATTATGGTATATGCCCTGATGTGATTATGAATCCACATGGTTTCCCTTCTAGAATGACAGTTGGGAAACTGATAGAGGTATTGGCTGGCAAAGCGGGCATTGTGAATGGGAAATTCCATGATGCAACAGGTACTTTTTACAAAAGATATGATTATTTTATAATATGTGATAATAATCTCATTAATTTTTATGTAGCATTCGAAGGCGCTAAAGTAGAGGATCTTTGTGAAGAATTAGCACAACATGGTTATAATTATCTAGGTAAAGATTTATTCTATAGTGGCATGAATGGGCAGCCAATAACAGGATATCTCTTCTTTGGACCAGTAAGTTATTCTTCTAGAACAATCACTGCAATTCAGTTTTAAATAGAAAAAAAAAAGTTGTTTCAAAAAGGAAATATAATTTATTCATAATTTTAAATCTTACATATACGCACATTATCAGAAAATATTTAATATTCGTATTTTATGACAAATCTATATCTTTATTATTTTAATCAAGATTGATATATACAATACTTTTAATATAGTTGAATTAAAATTCCAAATTCTTGTTCCAAACAGTTTTTCACTTTCCAATAGGAATATTGGATTATTTTCTAAAATATTAATTCAATCATAATATAGGTTTATTACCAGAAGTTGAAACATATGGTGCAAGACAAGATACATGTTCGTGCCAAAGGGCCAAAGGTAATTCTAACTCGTCAGCCGACAGAAGGACGTTCCAAGGACGGTGGTCTACGTCTTGGTGAAATGGAACGCGATTGTCTGATCGGTTATGGAGCTAGCATGTTGTTAATAGAAAGACTCATGTTATCAAGTGACTCATTTCAAGTCGACATTTGTAACAAGTGTGGACTAATGGGATATAACGGTTGGTGCCAGAGGTGTAGTTCTAGTTCCTCCATTTCTACGATCACGATGCCTTATGCTTGTAAATTATTGTTCCAAGAATTACAATGTATGAACATATTACCTCGTTTAACATTAAAGGATTATTGCGATTGATTATCTGCCATTGGAATGTATATGTAATATCTGAATAAATTACACTATCTTTGGAAGACATATATTGATTTTTGGAAAATCATTACAATAAAACATCTTAATATTACTAACAATATTTTTCACTATTATACTTTATAAATGATATATACTTTTTCATGATAAGTGCAATTTAACAAGTGTTCAGTTATTTAAATATCAGAAATCTTACATTACATAAACAATATATATATATATATATATATATATATATATATATATATACATATATAAATATACAATATTTTATTTTACAATATTCTTTATTTTAATATATATTTTTTTCTGGTAGTCAACACATATTTATGCTTTTTCATTGTATGTGCTATAAGGGTTCTGCAAACAATTGAATTTCTGGATTTTCAATATTCTTCTTACTTTGTATAAGTTGTAATTCGATCTTTTTAGCACTTTCTGCTTCCGTGTCTGCATACACTGTAATTGTTTATATATTATAACTATTATACTAAGATACATATGTCTCCTCATATAAGTATTATTTATACCTTTAGAATATTCATAAGTTTTAAGTAACACACTATATAAAGAATTTATTGTTTTCTCCATGGTGATTTTCATGTTACTTTGCAAATACAAGTGTGCAAGAAATAATGCAGCAAAGAGATCTCCAGAACCAATGAAAGTTGCTGGTATTTTAGGAATGTCCATTTTCAATAATACATTATCTACAAAAAAAATATTCATTAATATAATATAGCTTTGTAATGTATCTGAGAAGTTAAATATTATCAATGATACCTTTTTCAGTGCTGACTACCGCTGTCAACTTATTGTTAATTTCAATTGATGATACAGCTACAGTTTCTGGTCCACTTTGATGCAATTTTTTAATTGCATTTTGTAATTCAGTTATATTAGTAACTTTATCATCTGTCAATAATCTGAAAAAACAAAAATATGATTGTAAAACAAGTATATTAATTTCTTAGAACTGTTAACAATGCATCTCCACAATAGGAATTAATATTGAAATTAATATGACACAGCAACATAGTATATTAATATCATATATACTCTAATTCAAACTGATTTGGAGTCACCACATCCGCTAATGGAACTATCTCCTTCTTGTAAATTTCCTTTAGTGCTTCTGGGACATACATCTTTCCATTATCACCCATAACAGGATCACAAACATAAATAAGATTTGGATTTTTACTTTTCAATGTTGTGACCAATAGTGCTACCCTTTTTAAGAAAGAAGCTGTACCAATGTATCCCGTCAATAAATGCGTATAATTATCCAAATTATTTTGTGCTAAAGCATCAGCTAGGTCGTCTAAATAATTTAAGAAATACTTTATTGTTCTTTCTACATAAATGACAATTATTGTATATTTTTTTCCTTTAATCTTACCTAAATCTTTATCATTAAGTACTTGACCTTTAAATACTTTATAGCCAGTATGATTGGACAATTGTACAGAATTAATTGCATCAACCTCAAAGCCTAATAGCTAATGAAAAAAATTGAGCTTTTAATTTATTTATATTTTTACACAATGTATGAAAAATTAAAATCGATTCTTGTTGCATAAAAAGAATTTAAAGTGTCGATCAAAGAACAAACAGAACATAGACAAAAGAATAATTTTTTAATTTGTTCTACAATCACCTGTAAGGGAAAAGTAGCGCTTTTATTGCCAACGTATCCTGACACTACATGACTCTGGATTGAAAGGATGCGTGGTGTTTTCGCGGAACACATGATTTTAATATATTTCTCAATCAATATCTTGAATACACCTGTGGATTACTTTGCGGCTTGAACAGGACATGTGATAATTTGCTGTTATCTCAGTGTAGACTATTGTACCTGTTATCTCAGTGTAGACTATTGATAACAGGCCCTAACAAATGATCTATGAAATTATTATTGATCTTTTTTTATATATATTTTTTTATCCTCTTTCTCCACTTATCGAGAAATCAAGCTTATATAGTTTTGTTTCCTGAAGAAATGTGAATTAAAAAAAATTGCAGTTTAATAAATTTTCATATAAATCTTAACTTACATAAAAATAATGTAACAAGGAAAAAACTTTTCTTGCTTAAAATATTCATTTATTTTTATCTAGCGAATTTTTATATAGTTCATTATATATATATATATACATATATATATATATATATATATATATATATATATATATTATATATCTTTTGATTTATTTTAAATAATTATTAAATTTATATATTATTACACTTAATTCATTTTATTGATATATTATTACACTTAATTCATTTTATTGATATATTTTACAGTATTTTATCATATCATACTTCGTTGCAAATTAAATCGACTAAATTGTATTAGTACACAATATTTTCGAAAGAAACTGAGATATTTGACTAAAATTGGCGATGCAAATATGTATGCACTATAATTTTTACCTCGATCTGCTTGTCCTTCGACAATCGATTCTAATCTCTTTCATGTCTATGGTCGGTACATGATGATCATCTAACCTAAATGTGCATGTCTGATGCACTAGAAATAGTTAACAATAACATCTTTTATTTTAGCGGTAATGTTTTTTTTTCTTATTTAAATTAAATGTGCATGTAGTGCGTGTTAAAATCGTTTTACACGCGAGTTACTTAGAAAAACTGACATTACGAAAATTCCCTTCTGAGATTTTTTAATTAACAATTATATATAAATAGTCATTTTACAGAATAATGACAATGCTGCAGTTTAGTGCAACTCTTTATACCGCAACTGCTAGGCTTACATCTCGCTCGTCTTGGCGTTTCACTGCACTCATAGCCAATAACTCCAGTACAGCAATAAGCAATGAGCATTCCGCTGCCTCTACGAAGGTAAAGATATAATTTATAAAAAAAATTCAATCCTCTCTCATGGCATTCAATATCTCATAATGTTTCTTTATATATGCTTTAATATTTAATTTAATTTTTTGACAGAAAAGATTATCATTCGTTTATGTTTAGGAAGATGATGCTACCAAATTCTCAGAAATACAAAATATCTCACAGGAAAAAGGACAGAAGTCCAAAAGTACGGAAATCCAGACAAAGCTGGAAAAGAAATTGTTCAGTGAAAATGATACAATATTTTTCAAACAATTTCAAGCAGCCAAGTCGATAAATGACTTATTAGATCTGGCAATGCTGCCACATCTATCCACGAACAATGCTTTGAAGCTTATATCAAGTGTAACTAATCAGATAAATAGCGGAAAATCGCAGATAATTGACATTGAAGCTGATGAAAGATTTATTCATCTCAGAAAGATAGTTAAAATTGGTAATGAGATAAAAACATCAAATGATAATCTCTCACAATACTCTCAGTTATCCACACCGACAATGATTGAGGTAAATAGGATATTTATATTAGTACTACATGTACACACATATATATGTTGATATATTCTTTCTATATAAAGATGATAGCAACATTGAGGGAACAAGGAAATAGACATACACCACTATTAAGGATGCTGTCATACAATATTGTTAAATATAACACAAAATTAACTATGAAGCAAAGTGCAACTCTATTATATAGCATGGCTGTATTAAATTTTCCAGATAAGGTATACATATATCTATTTATTATATTAATATATAAAAAGAATATATATTAATTTTTTTGAATGGTACAATAGGTCCTGTTGGAAAAAATCACATCTGACTTATTGAAATGTATACCAAAAAGTACTAATGCTATTACAAATACATTCATAATAACATCACTGGGATTTCTGCGTTACAAAAATGAGGATGTACTCAATGCATTCTGTGATACACTCTTCAAGAAATCAATCAATTATAAATTTCTTAATTATTCGTCGATACTACAAACGTTTGCAGCTCTACAGTTTAAATCAGAGAAAGCAAGTACGTTTATCAAGGTACGTAGGAAAATTTTACAATGTTTTTCATTTTTATATATTATTTTAACTGTAAGAGAGAGAAAAGCTATATTTATTTTCTTTGATATGCATTTATATTATTTTTATAATAGAGTTTTACTGAACAATCAGACCCATCTTGTGTATCTGCATCTGAATGGTTGGATATTGCTTGGTCCTTAGCAGTTTTAGATGCAGCATCACCTCAACATATTAAATTTATACTAGATCCTACATTTATGGAAAATTTAATTGGTTTGTGTCTATTATTGAATTATATAATTGATTTATTATTATTTCAATATATTAATATTTGTTATTATATGGTTTTTGTACAGGCTCTTCTAAGTTAAATATTTCAAAAAAATTGAAATTATTAAATATTAATGCTGTTGCACAATTTGTGCTGAAAGATTATGAAGGTAAACTTTAAAATATTAAGTAAAATTCGAAAATGTACTGATATGTAATATACTGTAACAATTTTATATATTATCATTTTAAATTACAGGACCCTTTTTGGATAAAGATTCAGAAATTTTTAAGACACCTTTAATTAGATCGAAAGAAAAACAAGTATATATAAATGCATTAACAGAGACATTAACAAAGCTATTGCCATCCTCTTCTTATTTCAAAATAAATTGTAATACAAACATGGGTTTTTTATTAGGTAAATTTTTTAACACAATCAAAATTCATAGTGAATCGACATATTATCTTGTTAATTAAAATGAAATAATCAAAAAATAACAATAATTTATTATTTTTAGATGCAGAATATCGTATAAATGATCAGCATAAGCTTATAAAAGTTGAAGATTGGAATGAACAATCCGAGAATGTAAAAAGGTTTGTTACAATTGCTAATACAGAGTTAATTATTATTAATTTCGTTTTCAAACATATATAATAATAATTATCTTCAATAATTTAGCAATAGCTTTAAAGTATAATTTTTTTCCAAAAGTAATAAGAAGTAAATTTTGTTAATAATTTCAATTATAAGATATGGACACAATTATGAATTCACCAATAATGATTATAATAATTTCAGGATAGCAGTATTGGTATATGATTACCACGATTATTGTCGAGGACAGGATGACCTCATAGGATCAACTTATTTATACACTCAATTATTAAAAGCTAGAGGCTACAACATTGTAACAATTCCCTATAAAAATTTTAGTATACAGGATACAATCGACAAACGGGTCAATTACTTGACACAATGTATAAAAAATGTACAGGAAACGAAATTTGCATAGTGCAGTATTGATCCTAGTCGAATAAAATCTAAATAAATATAAAAAATGTATATATTATCATTTTCATCTTTTCATCATTTTTCTAAAATTAGAAATTGATATTAAATACCTATTATTGCTGTATTATATTTTATTTTGAACATCATAATGTTGCACATTGAAACATTCAAAATAAAAAGAAAATATTTTGTAAATCTTTTAAATATCTAATTCATGTTGCTAATTGTTTTATTTACACATTAAGTATTTCGTTATTATTACAAGTAAACTACCTTTATCTTTCATTTTTAATTCTAATAAAACTTATTACTGTGGTGGCTGCCAAGGTTCAATCTTTGGCTTTGTGGTGCTATAGGGCATATAAGCTTCATTGGTGCCACTCAAATTTTGTTGGTGATCTAACATCCATTTATATTTTGGTCGGGCTGGATCCTTATCTGGTGTTAAATCTGTTTTATAATGTAACCAACCAAACCATTCTGCTGGGACTTGTGAGCCATCATAATTGAATCCAACCTTATCAGCATATATTACCCATCTGTTACGACCTACAAAGAATATCAAATAAATATGATATATGGAATTTTAATATTTTATCTTCCTGTATATGTGAGAGAATTCTCACAAAATGGTTTAATATCATACATTATTCTTTGTATAAATAAAGATTCATTATTGCACCATTTAAACTACCATATATTTACAATAAACTCACCTACAAAATACATGTTATTCTCATAATATCGATTTCCATATTTATCTTGTCCAACTAAAGTACCAGTCTTCAGCTCATCCGTCCTAATCGTACACAAATCACAAGTTTGAATTACACTTTCTCAATTACTAAGAATATTAAATTAACAGATTGTCTATTTCTCTATATGAAAAATATTTCCTCTACAAGTGAAAATTATAATACAACATAAATGAGTTAGAATCAAATGTAAAGATTAGATTACACAATACTTATATGTAATCCAAATAGTCAGTACACAAATTTGTGAAATATAGGTTAAAATATCTACTGTGTATTATTGAAATAATATAATATATAACTATGTAATGATAACCTGAATAATATTTTTGCAGAACCAAAAATTCCACCGTTTTCGCGTATAATCCGAAACAACGTGGCAATTTTATCTAATCCTAATAATTTTGCCATATTTATATATATATCTCTGGGATTGAAGCCAGTGAAGTTGGTAAAATATCAATTCAACAATGTCGCCAATATTTAAATAACCTCGATACCCACTCATATGTGTCAGCCAGAGAGAAGACTGAGAGATGTCATGACCAGCTTTTAGATGATCCCTAGAAGCGATACTTCCTCTATGGACATTAAAAACGAGGACATAAACTAATGTCCACGAGGACAAAACAAATGTCCACGAATGTTCTCAGAGGGTAACATATATGTCCCTCTGATAATATAAATAATATAAATAAAAATATAAATAGTTTAATTAATAATAATTTATTATATAAAAATATTAGTATGTCTCTCTTTTCACGCTATTATTTATATTATATATTTATATTATATACTTATATTATATATTTATTTATTTATGAGTCTTCTTTTTCTTTTTCTCAGCATCATTTATTTATTTATTTATTTATTTAGTTTGCTCTCAGTCTTTTAAAATGCAAAACTAAATATTATAAGATTTGATTTTGAAAAAACGCGATAAAACAATCGAATCATTCGTAATTCAAATCATTAGCATAATATACTATAAATTTTCTACGTTATATATTGAATCGAAATTGCACAAAAGAGGAAAAAAAGAACAAGCCTATGAATAGACATTTCCATCCTTTACTAAAAAAAAAAAAATTAAAAATATCTCTCAATTTTTTCTCTCTTTCTTCGGGCAAGTCTACATATATGACCAATATGATTAATTGATTCCATCTTTATATATTTATCATTATGTGCTATTAATTAAAGCCGTAGACAATATTCAGAAATCAAAGTTGCGCGCAGGAATGGCCATGCGCAAAAACGAATGCGCACTGGTTCGGCCGCCATGTTGGCGCGTGACTGTTTCGTCACTGCTACGTCACTGTACGTCAAACGCGTCATACGGCCGCCATGTTGGCGCGTGAATCGGAGTCATACGCAGTTACACGGATCGTCGTACGTCCGCATTTTTCGCATCTTTTAACCGTTTTTAAACGAATATCGCGAGTGAACGAGCGTCGAGAGTGTCGAAGGATGATCGCGCGACTTTTATAGTGTGTCGATGGAAACGCGCGACAGCGATTTTTGACGATATTCAGTGATGGCGTCATTGCGAAGATGGAGCGAAGTTGCGTCGCGTTATTCGCGCCCTTGATGATGATTATCGGATGCGAGCGAATATCGGGAGTGCCGAATAAAGTGTCGCGCGTTCGCGTTGATGATATCGTGTGGATTTGTGTGCATCAAGATCGGAATAGGACGTCCCGAGGCGAGCGAACTGTCCCGAGGAGGAGCGGCCTGTGGAACAGCCGGTGAGTAGATTTGATTTATCATATTTGCGTGATAATTTGTGCTCATTCGACGCTTATACAGCATCGCGATGTCCCGAATTACATTCGGACAAATCGGCATCATAATTCGATTCAGTGCAATTCAAATAAAGTCGATCGCGTGAAGACGGTTATGCTAGAAGCGATTTCAAATTTATTTTGTACGCGCGCTTAGTGCTGCACAGCCTATCTCGTAGGGCTGCCAACTGTTAAACGAAATTTGTTTGATCTAACCTAACCTAACCTAACTTAACCTCTCAGTGTCTTTGGATATCGAATGTAAACACAAGCGTATGCTCCCTGGATTTTATCATGCTTTCAAAAATAATATTTAATTATTTCATTAGTGTATTACATTTTATTACGTAGTATATTAATCGTATTAAATGTGCGACGTACAGTTTTACACATTTTAATGAGGAGCATATAATATAATTGGTTAAGTTAGATTAAATTAAAACAAGCTGCTGTGATTCATTTAACGTAATAGGATTAATTTGACGAATGTGCAGCTATTGAAGTTACATGATATTTGTGGACACATTTTTAAAGTAATCATGAGTGTCTTATCTCATCTCGATTACATGAAATTAAAATATAAAATATTTATGTATTCCACATTAACGTTATTCATTACAAGTACTATATTACTACATTACAAGTACTTTTCTTATATCTCAATCATATTCAACCATTTATTTCATCGATGAAGTTTTTCATATACCGCAGACAATATGATACTGTGTGTGGAATTTTACACAGGTAATACGTGGCACAAAAATAATTTGCTCTCAAGTATTGTGCGCATTTCTGAAAAATAAATCAAATTAAATTATTTTCAGAATCCAAAAATCGCTACATTGCCAGGATTGTATCTTATTATAACTGCGATATTATCACCTTTTAATATGTGTGCACAGTATTACATACATAAAATATATAAATTTATTTGAAACGTACTGAAATCTTTATCTTATTTATAATATTCATGATATTATAAAAGAAAATTGCAACTCTAATGAAACAGAGCGATGGAATAATTGGTTGATACTTATGCTGGTCTACAATATTTACCCTTTTTTCACCATTAGACTTTTGGTGCTTTTTTTATTATACAGATGTTATCTGTAAATATAGTACTCGTAATGTTGTTTCTGTATCACTGTAAGCATACAAAAATGATAGCATTTGCAGGTAATTATGTTATACTTATATATCGTAAGAAAGAGAAAATAAAAGTTGAATATTGAATGTGCTCTAAAGTAAATCTCATCTAAATAAATAAATGCATAAATGTGCGCTCCACATTCCTCATGAAAAAAATACATAATATTAATCTTTATGTATTATTTTTAGATTTGTTTTTTATTCTTTTAAATTCTCTAGATGCACTTTTCATTTCTGCTCTCTTTCTTTCCAACTACTAAATATACTACTAATCTATCATTTTTAATATAGATCTGTCATTTTTAGTGTACATTATTGCAGTAAGTAGAATAAAGAGCAAATATTTTGGCACATTTAAAATGTCACACAGAAAAGTCAGTTTTATTTGATGCGTTTTTTGCAATAGAAATATGTAAACAAATCTGAAAAAATTCATACGTCTTTTTAAATCTTATTCTTTCTAAATAAAAATTAGAATAATAAATTTGCAAAATAATTTGCTTTAATATATTTTTATTGCAAATATATGAAGTAAAATGCTCAAGGTGCATCACTATGAAAATCGATAGAATAAAAAATAGATCGTATACGAAAAAATGATGAAAAATAGATCGTATACGAAAAAATTAAAATATTTACACTACATATTTGATATAGCATTTAATCGATATGTGCAGTAATACGATAAAATCTAATTTTCTCTCGAATTTTTTCGAGAAATTTAGACTACTAAAAAAACATCAAATATTCAAATTGTTCAATAGTCTTGCGAAAGAAGCAGTTCTCGCTTAAAGAATCTTTAGAAAAAAAAGTACAAAAAATTCCAAAGAAAAAAAGGACAAAAAATTTTTAATCTCACATGGATATTTAATTTTATACTAATATTTCTAATGTAACGCTTCATTTATAAAGATTTTATTTTGTGAAACGTTTATACATAAAAGTACAATGATTACGGCTTCTTTATTCTATTGTTTCATTTTCGCGTGGTTTTCGTTTATAAAATATTTGTGCCTCTGGATATTTTTCTGTCAGAAAATGCAGTTTTCCATATTTCGCTAACAATTGTATTTTCGTTTCATCGGAGTTTCTCGTTCGTACCTTATAAAGTTTAAGTAAACAAAAAATCATTGTTAATAATATACATATATAAATTGATAATTAAATAAAACAATTAATTAATTAATCGACATAATCCACGTTTTTTTTAGCTTTATGTTTAACATATATATATATATATATATATATATATATATATATATATATGTGTGTGTGTGTGTGTGTGTGTATATATATTTTTATAAATAAAAAATGTTTCTTTCTAATATAAATTAAATAAAAAGTATAATATGCCTTTAAATACTTTATATTCACACCTATTGCAATAAACCAATATGGTTTAGAACGCTTTTACATTCCTCCTTGTACTTTGGCATACATATCCTTTATGCCAATTATCTCACAACATGCTTTTATCGCATGATGACAAATAAGCCCATTATCCTTCATGAATTTTCTTTACAAATATTTTTATATTCTCAAACTGTGTAAAGAAATCATGTAACACTGAAAAATACAAAGTGATATTAAAAGAGAAGAAATAAATTTTATATTATATAGTATTGACAATTATTTTCTTACCAGTAATGTATATTCCTTATATGTAGGAATATACATTAGTCTTTGACCAGCCCTATTTTTAACCGTCTTTAGGGATGCTTTGGCTTTTGATAACGCAAATCCAGCGCTAATCCATTTCCATTTCCAGTTACTATAAATGAACTGATTCTAGTCTTACGTGCTAAATTACCGGTCATACAAGTTATCATTTTGTTTTCCAAAATCTAGGTTTCAAAACTTTCAAATGTATCTGCAGAAAACAAAGATATTAATTATATAAGATTCTAATATTTAGAACTGAAACAAAAAATTGAAAATAGACATCGTATCACATGATTTTTGTATGTGTGTGATTTAACCATTATAATCCAATAATAGCATAAATATTAACCTTTTCCAATAAGATCTGATTAAATGCTTCTGCCATCCATTGTAACACTCGTCCAACCACATTCCAATGGCGATAATTTTATTTGCATTGATCTGGTCTGACTTTATGGTAATTCCATAAGTTTTTGCTTTCTTTCAAGATTTACAAGCAGTTTTTGCTGTTGAATTAATTCTTTTCCTCTAAACACAGGAGTGTTTAGACCAGGAAATTGTATCGGAATTTTTCCCATGCCAATAATTTGCTCCTTATTTAGGTCTCTCTTTTCACTACTCTTCTTGCTCTACCTCTGCATCTTCCTGCATTACTGATACTTGTCACATCCTTTCATAATTCATCTTCAGGTCCTATAGAACAAAAGCACAGTGAAATACAAACTATTTTCTACTGTAAATATAAACTATTATCAAAATGCTATATCCATAAAAGTTCTACTTACTATTCGCAAAGAACATAGAGTTTCTCACATTATTTAATAAAGTGACTATTTTTAATAAATGTGAATGACTGACAAGCAATAAATTAAACAATATTAAACAATAATATATACCTGAAAAAATTT